CCGAGCCCATGGGCAAGGTGATCGTCATGCATCTCAAGAAGCTGATACTGCTGGGCCAGACGTTGGCCGACGACACCCTCATGTATTATCGGCTGATGCTGGCCAAGCTGACCAACTGGGACGAGGACGGCTTCGAGTTCAAGTGTCTGATGGAGCTGACGATCGTCGACGAGCTGGGCCTGAGGCCGATGCTGCTCTTGGCCGACGACGACGACGAGCGACTCGAGCGCTACGCCACCAAGCCGGAGCTCCTAGAGCTCATCGCCAACGGGACCGAGTTCGAGCGCAGATTTCCCATCTACGGCTATCTGATACGGCGCAAGTACAAGGCGGCGACGAGGCGTGCCGAGCGCAGACGACTGCTCGAGGAGGCCAGCGTGAGTCTGGCCAATGCCCTCGGCCCGAGGCTCATGAATCAGGACACCGCGAGACACATACTGCTGCACAACTTCAACAATTACGCCCTGCAGAACGTCATCGCTGCCATGACGTTCAGGTAGTAGTAGCAGTAGTAGTAGTTCACACAATTTGACTGCTGATCAGTATAATACTTCTCGTTCGTTTCGCTGTTGTTGTTGTTGCTGTTGTTGAAAAAAAAAGGAATAAATAATGATGAATAACCGGTAATCGATGTAACGATTGATGTATGCGATGTGATATATTTCTAAAAAAAAAAAAAAGTTATGATAGAAAAAAAAAGGTGTATGTTGTTTATCGAGGCAATCGAATGTGCGAATATATTAATATAGAGGCGCGCCGATCATTTCACCATTGTCGTATGAACGTTCTTTGTGATTTTTGTACAAATACCGATGTAATAACCGATGTCTAATTCACAGAATGATGTATTTGCAATTATATACATATTATGTAATATCCCACATTATGCATTTGACGATATAGGAATGATGTTGTTTCTTTTAAATGTTTATTATAGTGTATTTTATTGAATTTGGAATTTTTGAAGATGTTTTTGTTGACAAATTTATTTTGAGCCACGTATGAGTGTATAAAAGAGAAGTTTGTATTATTTACAAAAATCATGTTGTTTATTAAAAATTATTATACTTGTATCAAAACTTGACCAAGGTGTATAATTTATTGATTTTTAATTCGTGACGAATTTCAAATATTTCAAGTTTATTAATTATTTTTAATTTACCCTCTTTGAAACTGATTGATTAGAATATTTAAAAATACATTATCAGTAATTCACGTGCTTTTCTGAACAAAACGAGCTTGCATCGTAAAAAGCTCATACTTCGTTTGCTTCAAGTTTTTTCGTACGTAAAGTTGAAAAGAAGTATACAAATATTTGAAAATTGACTCCTTTTATATTATCTATATTCTATATAGAATATAGAATATAGAATCTATAGAATATAGAATCTATAGAATACAGAATATGAAGCGAAAATACATCAGCTTGCAGTACAACTGGCTTTACGAAAGGTTTCATCGGCTTTCTCTGCTTTCATTGAGCTTTTATCGAAAAATAATGCAAGCTTACGTAAAAGCTGATCAAAAAAGATTCAAATTGTTTTTAACAATCTCCGTATACTTTTTTTTTATTAATTCTAAAGGTTAATTTTATTCTTTATCAACTAACATAGAATACATACAGAAATTATAATAATTCGAGAACTTGTAAACATAAAATACATTATTCCAGTTTCCGTTAAGTTTGATTTAGTTAACGAAATTACCATAAGAATTCATATCGAAGTGAGTTTATCTTCTTCATCTTCGAATACCTACTTACGTTCTAATTAAAACGAATACTATTGCTTCAAATTTTGTAGACCTCAAGATAGTAAAAAAAAACTCAAAAAGCCCAAAATCCGCGAATGAATTATTCTATCTAGTTTTGAGCCAAAAATTATTGTTCATATTTTTACATTTAAATTCATCTATTCTGAAAATGTTCAGTAAGTTTTTCACACGAGATAGATAGTAGATTTCATCTTAAAAGTTACTGAAGTTAAGAGGGGCACTGCTCATCACGCAAGATAAATAAAAAATAAGAAAGATTTTAACACTAATTAAAATTATTCAAATCTATATTAAAATTTCACGTTCAAAGTAATTGTATCAAGTGTCGGTTAACGCGTTTGAAAAGTTCGCAAATCTCCTTTTGTTTTGTACCACGCGTGTTTACATTACTTACTTGAGCGCTTGGTCGAACTCGTCTCACGGCAGCCGATGTCGAGTCGTTCGATTTAGCGTACACATTACGATCGTCGCGCAGAGTAATCTTTATAGAGAGATCGTGTCGACCGTAGCAAGCGAAATAAAAAGCAAAACAATAGTTATGTTTTTCAGACAGCCTGAAATATCTCTCGGCGAGGGTTTAGAAAGATTGACGAGCTTTCTAGAAAATATCAACTGGGAGAATGCAGCCGATCGACTCGAACTTCTCCGACGACTCGACCCTTTGCTCATAATGAGGAACGTGGTACAGCAGCTTTACGATCTTCGAGATATTTTCCAAAAGGAGAACGTCGAGCACCTTCTCGAGGATTCCCTGTTTGTTTTGGACGACATGGGTCAGCGAATACGATTCGTCAAATTCGTGTCTCGTTCCGGCTACAAAGACGAGCCCGACATCGACGAGACCGGAAACCAGCTGTTGAATCGCGCCACGCCGATACATCGCGCGCACAGATCCTTGATGCCCGGTAAAATAACCATAATTCAAGAGCTCTTCCAAATATACCACGCGAATTACGAAGACGACGGTTTGACGCACCTTCACGTGGCCTGCGAGTACGGCTTCCAAGACGTCGTCGAGAGAATCTTCATCCTCGGCGCGGATCCGAATCTCCTACCGGAACAGTTGGACGCTACGCCGCTGCAATTGGCCGTGAGATTCGGCCACGCGGATCTAACCGAGCTGCTGCTGATAAACGGCGCCGATCCGAACTTGGCCAACCGTCGCGGAATGACGCCTCTGCACGTCGCCTGCAAGACCGACTGCGGGGCCTACAACGTGGTGACTCGTTTCTTCGCGGTCAACGACAACGAAAGACGGCGGGTGAACGTGGAAGCCCGAACACCGGAGTCGGGCCGGACACCGCTGCATCTGGCTATTCTCTCCGGGAACGAGGAGGTGGTCGAACTTTTGCTGAGACGAGGAGCGCACCCCAATTCGGCCGACGCCAAGGGACTGACACCTCTGCATTGCATTTGCAAGTCCGAGAGAAATGTAAACTTGTTCGGGGTGTTCGACAAAACAAGCCGTCAAAAAGGATGGCTGGTGCCGCTCGAGCCACTGGACAACGAGCTCCGGACCCCGCTTCAATGGGCAGTGGCGTGCCTCGCGCCGAATATCATCGATTCTCTCTTGCTCGCTGGTGCCCTCCTGTCGAGCTTCTCTTATCCAGATCGAAGTCACTTCAACGAGTGCTTCGAATCGTCGTTGACGGGTGAACCGGCCGAGATGAAATTAAAAATGGCGTTTGGTCTGATGGGCGTGATCGAAGCTCTGGACATCGGAGGATACGAACCGAAGCTCAGCGACGTTCTGACGATCATGTCGTTGTTCGCCGAGCGGAACTTGTTCGACAATTCGCATCTCGAAGCGAGCGATTGGTACGACGACGAGGAGTTCGCGAAAGTAGCAAAAAAAATCATGATGTATTGCGAGGAGGAGGAAGAGGAAAGTACGAATCTGTCCTTCTACGACCTAATCCAATTACCAACCAAAAAGGCGGCGCAAAAACTCATGTATCCTTACAGCTGCTGCGACCAGTGCCGCGACCAGTTCTGGTCCTCTGCAAATATGGGGATGCTGCCCGAGGCATCCAAAGACATTTGCGCCCGCTACTTCTGCGAGAAAATTACGAGAACATTTTTCCGGCAAATGACCGTGGAATGTTTCTATCAGCTCGTGCGCCCACTCCTGATACTCGATTGCTGCGAAGAGATCGTCCATAAGTTGCCTGTCAAGGATTGGTACAATATTTGCTTGGCGGTTGGTTCAAACCAAAGCTCGCGATGACTCTTGTATTTTCGTGTAACCATTGCTTTGAACAATACAAAATTGTATATTATACGTTAGTTGAAAGGGTACAGCAAAGAAAAAAGTATCCGTATACGTACGGATGATTGAAAAAAAAAATCATTGATGTAAACTTCGATACATTAGTTGATATTGAAATAATATTATTAATGACACTACGACATATGAGCTTTACAATCAAGTATGTAAATACAAAATGACTACGTATTATATTTTTAAATTTTTTTTATAATTCTGCACATTTTCAATAACATTAAAATGAATAAATAAATAAAATCTGCTGCCAATATATTGGCAAAAAGAACTCGCTCCTAAAAATACGATTGCTCTTTTTTTCTACTCATCAAGTCCAAAATATTGTTGGAACTTAAAAATTCAAAGCATCTAGTCATGGCTACTGCACCTAGTTACAAAAAAATTTATTACGAACTAGCGAAAAAAAAATTTCTTAACAGAACAAAATACTTCATAACTTTTTATATAATCGTTAAGTCGGAAAATAATTGCTTTACTATTATTTAGATACAACCACGAAAATAAACCATGAATGGAAAAATTAAAGTACTTTGTAGCAAGAAAATACGATTTATTGAAAAATGAAAAAAAAATTTCTGAACACAAAAAATGTAATAACTTTTTAATGTGACTTTCATAATCATGTTACAAAGATTAAATGCACATGAATGTCCTTAAAATCATAATTTGATTGTTTCAAAAAATGTACAATAATACAATATTAAAATTTACCATAATACCACTTTAAACATCCAGCACTATAGATAGCGATGCTCTTTCAGCTACAAGTCTGCAAGTGGCTACGTAAAATTAATTGTATAACTCAAAGTACATTTTTGGAAAATTGTCATTATTCTTTGAAAATTTTATTGATTATACAGAAATTATTATTGCAATTATTATTTGCATTTTTAAACAGTACTCTTAACATAAGGTTCATAATTATAAGTAAAAATTTTAAGTGCTAAATATCCAGCAGCGCCTTTTTGTAACTCTTGTGAAATAATCCAATTCTAGATAGAGGAGTTGGCTGCCTAGTTCCTACCGGTTCTATATCCACGAATGGTACAATAGTCTGCCCTACATCGTTTTTTAGACTACTCGTTGTCAGAGTCAGATGTTGTCCAGGGTACGAGTGAATAGGATTATTCAAATGGTGATCTGATGACAAATCCACGTAATACAGTTGAAGTTCGCTAAAATAAACTTTTTCATTATACATGCTTTAGAGAGGCATCAAACAGAGTACGAAGCATAGTTATTCGATTTACCTGAGGTCATGAATACTTTCTTTATTGTGGTACCAAGAATAATTAGTTTTCAATTTTCCTTGTTTATAACTAACAAGGAGAGCCTTTCATCTGCGGGTCACAGATCCTTACCAAACTTGTTTGGGGGCCTTCTTGTACATAATAATGAAGCCCCCTATGGTTAATTTATTCCAATGGGCCCTGGAAAGAGTTATAGAGCAGAAAAAATTATCAAATATAATATAATGTTAAAAAAAACCACTTATTACTATCAGGCCTTGTACAGTCAAGTTTAACTCTCTCAAAAATATTTGTACATGAACTTTTATGGATTCTAAACACTTTTGCAAACAATAAACAATTGAACTCAATTGGTTTGCTGTGTAAGTTTTAAAGAGCGCACCAATTTGAGCTAAAATTAACGTACCAAACAATAAATATTGATGTAAATTATATGAAAATGTTTTTATTTGTATAACTCACATATACCTTCTCTTCACCTATTCCTGACACTCATCTGGAGTGAATTTACATATGTTTTGAGTGCGTGGTGAGAAAGAAATAACAGTAAGTTTAATAAATGAAAACATTTTTACATGATTTAATATAAATATTAGTTGATAAAAGCATAAATTTTAGCTTGAATTGGTTCGCTCTTAGAGACTTTTTCAGTAAACCAATTGAGTTAAATTGTTTATTGATTGAAAAGGTGTTTTGGTCATTAATAACTCAAAGTATAAATACTTCTCAGTCAGTTAGACTTGACTGTGTAAACCTGATACCATTATACGCTAATATATGGTATTTTATACATCATATTATATTATATACTTTATGGTGCTTTATAATGGTTTCCAGGGCCCATTGGAATAAAGTAACCATAGGAGGCTTCATTATTACGTACAAAAAGACCCCTAAACAAGTTCGGTAAGGATCTGTGACCCGCAGATGAAAGGCTCTCCTTGTAAATTCATGTCCTCGGGCCTCCAACTTTAAAAGCCCTCCAGAGTAAGTGAATTTTACACCAGTTATAACCATGTCATCATCGAAATCAATATCGTTTAGCTCAACTGATCTTTTGTCCCAGCTCAACCGAAGATAGTCGACATCAGCCTTCACATTACTGTCGGTAATGTTATATCTGTTAACTTTTGCCCATGATTTTGTTTTCAGATCGACTATGCCCGATTGTAAAATTGCAGCTTGCTGTATCTGAAGATGAAATATGTTGTCGATTTTTATTAGACGAACTCCTATAATGACCCTGAGAAAAAATAAAAGTATAGCTCGTAAGTTCATGATAACGAGTAAAAGATAGTTTTAACAGTAAAATTCTTACTTGTTTCGATATACATCTGATACAACTTCTTTCAAGTTGATATAGATATCCATATTTAGATCGATATCATTTTCACATGTACATAAGCAAACTTGGCAATACCAGAAGTCCCGAAGATGTTCGCTAAAGCTAGTTATTCCTGCATTGCACAATCCTGTTTTTTCACCTAACAATTTCCCATTACCACCTTCTACGTATTGGTACCTTCGTTTACTTGTGGCATTCTTCAAAAAAGTGTGATTAAAAATTTTATCAATTACAAAAATGCATTTCTAAATTTACCTCTGTATTGCACATCGTTATGTGGGAGTCGAAAGATTCGCAATTCCTCACAGTACCAGGACAAATATGTATAAAATCAACGCAATATGGCTTGACTACACCCATTTCACACATATTTGAAGCTTCAGTGTATTCAGAACAGTCTCCATTGCAACGGGTCCATGAATAATGTCCATCTACTCTCGTCGACAGACCAGCCTCAGGTTCGAATGACTTGTAAATAAATGGGCCGAATTTTTCAAAAGTGACACCTAAAAAAATATTAATGTTAAATGGCAATTTTGGAAAATTATCACTTCTCACCTTCTTGAGGATCCGAGTTGCAATTCCAAAATTCACGAGATGCTTTTGACAATGCTTTTTTCACAGCCGATACAGCTCGACTCGACCTTTCAACGAATTCGTTTGATGCATTTTGACTTTCCCACGTCATTACTACTATCAAAAGGACACATTTTTATTTTAATTTGAATAAAAAATTTTTAATCATTGCCCTCGAAGAAATGCTCAACGTTATAACGATATGGTAACTAAAAATATTCAAAAAATACTCTAAGTTTTTTGGTAAAAATGATAAGCCCGTTTTAAATGACTTAAAAGTGGCCATTTAATTGTTTTAAAAAATATAGACTAATGTTTGATCGTTTTAAATATGATAATTACAACTTACTGCCTCCACCTTTAGATGGCAAGTTTCTTTATCTGTAAATCTGCAAGTGGCCAATTAGAAATAATTATATAAATCGAAACTGGTCAAATTGAACTAAATTATTCAGTTTTAATGAAGGTCTCATTAGGCATGAAAAAAACTTGGCACATTATATGGCCATAAAATATTGAGCATTTCTACCAAAGAATTTCTACCGGGCTTGTTTTTCATTTGCGCCTCTATTGCAAACAAATTCATTGTCAATCCTTTGATCTCGGCTGTACACAGTGTTTTAAACAAATTAAGAATAATAATTTCCTGCGATCTGCCTCTCGAACAAACGAGCTGGGAAACCTGAATTATTATTATTGCCGATCTTTGCAAAATGGATCTCAACAGTATCGCACCCAGCCTTGCCTCGAATTTTTCGGCAACCTATCCGTGGAACCAACCAATATTTTTGATCGATATCATAAAGTCCTTCACGCCGTATTGATCCCGTGCTTTGTAGAGTGGTAACTTCATGAGGTCGTAGAACGATTTGCCATTAATTAGCTTACATTGTTTTAAATTTCTTGTGTCCAATGCATTTTCGTCGTACCATGAGGTGTCCAGATCCACCGACATGGCGAAAAATCCGCAGTCGACGAATGATTTAATGATCGTGACAGCTTCGCTTAGATTTAAATATACACAAAATAGTTTAGCCTGTTGATGACATTAACAAAATCAGCTATCAGTCGTAATTTCTGTGTATTTCCATATGCAATATTATCAAATTGCGATCTCCTCGAATTGATGTTTTCTAGTCTACACTTTAATCTTTCAATCTTAATTTTATCTCCTGCCGACATCTCCAAATTTTCTCCTTCTTCGATCTTCTAATCGATATTTTCTACCGAGCTCTCCAATTTTTCTTCTTCAGTCTTCTGATCGAAATTTTCTTGTTCTCTCTTTAATTGTTTAGAAACAGGGCTATGGAGACTGACATCGGATTCGTCGCCGGACGACGCTTTGCACGGATGATCACACGCAGAAATATTCGCCTAAAATTAAAGATATTTTTCACTATCTTTACGAAAATCGCTTGCTTATTATTAGCACAAGTTATACTTGAAATCGTGTGAAATATTTTGCGCGCTTCTATATGATAGCCGTATTAAAAAGTGTACTTTTATACTTAACTTGTACTTCTTGTACTTTATTTTTAAGTGTACTTTTTTAAATTAAAATTGACAAAATTTAACTCGAAAAACGAAGCTGAAATTTCGGGAGAAAATTATAAGGGTTCTTAACTATTAATTTCCGAAGTTTCAACTTCGTGGCCCATCTTGACCCAAAGGTCCCCAACGTCCTTAAAAGACGCCGATTAAATATGATGCATAGCCTAGAGAAGTGTGTTTACCAATGAAGTTCAAATTCATTATTCTAACGTGCCACAGCCGAGGTCTTCGTAATTCGCGCAAAGAGCGTCTCGCCGCGCAGTGCCGCCAACTTTCAAACTCGTTTCCTACGCTCATGCGCGATTGACTCCAAAACCTATACACACTGTCTCGCTGGCGGCGCGTTACCAACGGTATAACATATTACACCGAGTGTATATACGGCAACAAAGTCGCATACATCCAGCCAGCCACACAGCATAAGATGCGTGGCCAGTTTTACGTGTTGTGTTGTCCCAGTGCATAATCAAGCTTCCATAAGTGCTCGCGCGCGTGCGAAGGGTGTATCGTGTCCGGTGCCTGCAGTTTACATCCCAGCTGATTATGTGCGAGAATAAATCCGGAGCCAGACGACGACGCTGCGGATGCTCGACGTCGGCGACGACGACGCGGTGAGGAAAAAACAGCTGACGAAGCGGATCGAATGACGACTCCTCTGGCGCTGCTACGTGCTGCTGCCTCGTTGTTGTTGTCATTATCATGTATCCCACGGCGAGGACCGAATACATTAGCCTCGACCTCGGTCTTGGCCCGCCGGCTTTCATCAGCAGCAAGCCGACCTCGCGCAGCTTGTGGAGGGTGAGTTGATATCGTTTATTTTTTCGTGTCGATAGAATCTTTTTGAATAATTGGCTGCGTTCGTGACTTTGAACGAGGCGAAATTATGCGGGAATCGAGAGTCCTTTGATAGCGCATAGAAGGGAGATGCATTTTTCGATATAATTGGTGCGCGTCGTATAAGAGCTTTGATAAAAATTATGTTGACAACATTTTGCAAATGATTCGTTTGCTGCTAAAACTTTATAATCTATTCCATATGGACATCCATAACGCGTTTATATTCGTTTAAATTTTCATTCAAAAATTACGTTATCGGATCAGAATTTTAAGTGACCTGCGCGAAAAATTATTAGCCATCTATTTGAGTGCCTAGCGTATAAATCTAAAATCATGGCAAATTTTGTTGATCACTGCTTTTAATTTGCAGCAATGGAACCAGCTCTCTAGATTTCAACGAAATATTTTATACTTCTCTGTGATAACTTTTATAATTCTCATCGTATATTTGATGCCTGGAAAATCTCAGACTCATGCAGGAATCGACGAGATTGACTATGATAGCGCTAAAAACGATGCCCAGCTACCGAAGGTAAATGATTAGATATAATATTTCTACTTTATTTTCAAGTAAGTTATCATTAGATCGATTATAATCGTATTTATTTTTATACAGGGGGCAGATGAATTATTAGAAAATATCAAGAAGATTGAAGAAGAGAAACAATTGGATGATACGCAAGCATTATTAAAAAGTATTAGAGAACGATTAATACAAAAACACGAAGAGGTAGATAAAGCAGAAAAGTATAAGGAAAAAAATGAAATCGCGGAAAATAATGAGAAATCCAAGAACGCGGATAATCAGCAGCAGGTCGAAGTCATCGAAGGGCCCGAGTTTCAGCCCGAAGCCAATCAAATCGACGGCAATCAGATTCACGAGCCACCGAAGCATAAAATCGAGCCGCTCAAATTTGATGGTAATTTTAATCGATAATCAATTGTCTCGACGCGAATTTTTCTTAATAATTTGCGCTGACTAAGCTCGCGAAAATTTTACGCTGAACATAATGTAAAAAAAATTGCATGCAACGCGGAAAAAATGATGTTTCGACTCACGCGCAATTATTTTTCAAAAGTCGAGGTCTCGAAAAACTCCGACTATAATTAGCTTGAAAATGTCTATTTTAAGATTCTAATCTTCTCTTGCAGGCCCGCAAAATGACAGGCAACGAGCAGTCGTGGCGGCTTTCAAGCACTCCTGGACCGGATACAAAAAATTCGCCTGGGGTAAGGACAACGTCAAGCCAATATCCAAAGGATTTCACGAATGGTTCGGATTGGGATTGAGCATCGTCGACGCTCTGGATACAATGTATATGATGGGTTTGAACGAAGGTAATACTACAAGAAAATTAAATAATTTTCAGTCACGGGTGAGCAAATGTTTTATTAAAATTTCTGTGTCTGTCGTCCTTAGAATTCGACGAAGCTCGAAATTGGGTCAAGGACAGCTTGAACTTCAAACAAAACAGGGACGTCAATCTGTTCGAGGTCACCATCCGAGTACTCGGAGGACTGCTGTCGGCCTACCATCTGTCCGGCGACACGATGTTCCTCAACAAAGCCATCGATCTCGGCGACCGCATGCTGCCCGCCTTCAACACGCCCTCCGGCGTACCCTACTCGGACGTGAATCTCGGCGCCCGCAGCGCCCACCCGCCCAAGTGGGGCCCCGACAGCAGCACCAGCGAGATCACCTCGATCCAGCTGGAGTTCAGAGATCTGAGTCGCAGCAGCGGCATGAGCAGATTCGAGGATTCCGCGTCCAAAGTGTCCGAGCACGTGCACAGGCTGGAGAAGTACGACGGATTGGTGCCGATATTCATCAACGCGAATACGGGCATGTTCAGAGAGTACGCGGTCATCACGATGGGAGCGAGGGGTGACAGCTATTACGAGTACTTGTTGAAGCAGTGGATACAGACCGGCAAACGATTGACTTAGTAAGGATACGTTAGGATAAATTAATTTTACTCTCGATGGTTTTGTGAGATTAAAATTTATTTTTCTCTATTTTTATCCATTTCAAGTTTGAAAGACGACTATCTGCAAGGAATCGCGGGTACGGAGAAACATCTGATCAAGAAAACAGCCGTTAACAAGTACTGGTTTACAGCTGAGCTCTTGGGCACGACTCGCGATCTAAAACCAAAAATGGTAAGCTCCTTTCTCCCGTTGATCAATTAGAAATTCCATCGATTATTACGTCAGTGAACGAATTTTTATAATTCAATAATAGGATCATTTGACCTGCTACTTGAGCGGAACGCTGGCACTGGGCGTACACAACGGCTTACCCAAGGATCATCTGACCCTGGCCGACGAGCTGCTGAAAACTTGTTACCAAACTTACCTCATCCATCCGACTGGTTTGGCGGCCGAGCTCACTTACTTCAATATGCAGGTAGGAATATTCATTAGACGACGAGGAGACTCTTATATTCATGTATACGGACGTTTCGTAATTGCTTAATTTCAAATTCTTTCTCTCTGTCTCGATCCATTAGAAAACCGATGACGCAAACCATCGAGACATGTACGTTAGAACGAACGACGCTCACAATTTATTGCGGCCTGAATTCATCGAGAGTCTGTACTATATGTATTACTTTACCGGCAACAAGACTTACCAGGATTGGGGATGGAGAATATTCCAGGTATACATTACGATACATTACATCAATCGCAATGACGCAGAATCAATTTCATTGTTGTTTAATCGATATTTTTATTTTTTCGCTCTAGTCCTTCGAGAACTACACGAAAGTGGAGCACGGCTACACGAGTATTAGTAACGTGAAAAATATCCACAACACGCGACCCCGCGACTTGACCGAGAGCTTCTGGTTCGCCGAGACCCTCAAGTATTTGTATCTGCTGTTCGACGACTCGAGGCAGCTGATAAGCCTCGACAAGTGGGTGTTCAATTCCGAGGGCCATCCGTTGCCCATCTACGAATCGTAATGATATAATAATGTCTTAGACGAGAGGTGACGCGAGAAAAAAAAATTGTTGGCAATTGTAAATGAATAAGAGAAAAAAAACATTGAGACATTCGCGAAATGATTCAATTATATTTGTGATAGAAATTTTGCATTTTAGAATTTATATTTCTATAAACGTGCGGGCGTAATAGTAACGCGAAAAAGAACATCCGACGATGATTGCTCTTTTTGTGTGTGTGTAAGAGAGCTTCAATTTTTCGATAGCAAAATCATGAATATCATTATAAATAAGTAAACGTAACGCGTATAGATAGTCTTACACGATGCTAGTCTTGTTTATAAAAAATTTGTTGAACGTATTGATGAAGTTGTGAGAAGGGTGTGGTGTCAACAGTATGCAATTTTTAAAATAACTTTTTTTATCAACGATTTATTAGGTGACTATAGGCTTCGTATGAGCCTCGATTGTAATTAAAAGTGTGTGTCTGTCCGTCATTAATACAGTTACTTATTCGTTTCTGCATTATGATTTTAGTACTAATTTATACATTTTTTAAGATGTGTGTCATATTAATTGTTTAGTGAAATTTGTCAGCGTTTTTAATTTTTGTATTTATTTTTAGAAAATAAATGCGATGACTTCCCCATGGTAGGTTTATAATGGTGTAATGTCCTGTATTGTAATAACCAAATCTCGAATGAATCTTAGTTATGCCGAAACATTGAAAAAAAAGTGTGAGAATAAACGTAAGATAATAAAATCAATGGCAGCTATTTTACTTATTTTTTCAACAACAAAATATATCATTTGAAATCTCTCTTTAATTTTGTCAAATAAACAGGTACGAGAAGGAAGAACATGTTTAGGAAATGGTAAAAAATAAGAGTATCAAAGGTTTGTAAATTCAAAAGGTCTCTCTCTGTACTTAATAAGCTTCTTATTGTATTTCACTTAAATATATAAATATTTATAGGTATAAAATATTCTTGTATGTATAAAAATAAGCTATACACGCTGTGGAGCGCGACGAACGTTCTTACTTTTTTTTCATTAAACTTAAATTTATCTAGATTTTTTTATATTTTTATAAAATATAAAATATTATATTAGACTTCTTCTTTTTTCAACTATTGTACAATAAATCCGTGTGAAAACGATTAACATTTGTTTGCCTGCTCTTTCTCGCGCGCACTGTCTGTATGTGTGTGTGTGTGTGTTTCTCTCTCACATGATGCTGCACTCGCAGCACTGTTGCGTCACGTACAGGCAATTGACGATGAAGGGTATGTCGTTGAGGTCCACGCGCTCCTCCTCGTCCTCGCCACCGCCGGCGGCAGCCCCCAGACCGTTGTGCTCTCCCGCCGCCGCGTGCAACTTCTCCACGCTCGGATCCTCGCCGCCGCCGCCGCCGTTCAGGTTGTTCTTCAGCTTGGCGACGCTGTCCACGTGATCGCCCGCCGCCGTGGGCACCCGAGTGATGACCGACTGGGGCATCGGCAGGGTCGACTTCAGCACGGGCACCTCGAGCTCCTCGGACTTGGTGCTGGCGGAGTCGCGGGGCGACGAGTCGCTGCCACCACCGCTGCCGCCACCCATGCTCTTCGACGACTCCGTCGTGGAGTTATTCGAGCGCGGGGACGACGGTGTGATTTTGCCCGTCTGCCGCTGCTCGTCCTGCAGCGTGATCGACGGGTCTGTGGTGGTTGTCATAACACTGTGGGAATGGAAAAAAAACATAGATTAGTATTATTAATCATCGTTAATAGGTTTTACTTTTGTACGTATATCGTTCGAGTGTCGTATATGTTTTGAATTTATCTCAATGCTAAACGAGGTAGATCTTGTCAAAGTTAAATTGCTCTTTATATTGTTTACACGACGCGAAAGATTCAAGTATGTTTTTTATTCTCACGCAACAGTCGCAATCGCATGTAATCTAAATTGCTCCAGTTTTGCTCTCTCGACATTTATATACACCTAATGCATCGTTTAATATCCCACGATTTTCCAGTGCGCCTAGTTGAAAGACACATAATATTATAATCTCCATGATGCGTGTGTACGCTTGGCGTCACTATGGATTGTTCGACGTCGATGTAAACATGAGCTCATTACACGCGGCGATGCATGATTAGAGATCGTAAGTGTATGTACGCGTGTCATTTCGGTTCAATGTGTATATTTGACGTGAAATGAGCACGGACTAAATTGACGTACGACTAGATCGCCCAAGACGACGTTAGAATAAATCGACGTCTTGTCGTGTGTCCAAAGGATTATTTGGCGCGTGCCTAGTCGAGCGCGTGAACTCGTCAATTGTCATTTGTCCCTTTCGTCGTCGTCGTTGTCGTCGTCGTCGTGGGCGGGAGACGAAAATGATTTTAATTGGATTCGAGCTAATGTGTATATAGTCGCCCAGCGTCTGTGTTTGTTAAAAAATTTTATTCAATAAAAGCCAAGTGAAGTGCCTTAGAGAGTCTTAGATACGACGAGGCGATAAATTATATTGTTCAAACTTCAGCACGCTTCGATAAAAGAGAGCTTTTACGCAATACGTGTATGCATTAGCAGTCTTTTAACTTATTCTTAGAATTTCTCGGAGACGTTCCTCTTACTTTTATCGGTATAAACGAGACGAGCGCGGGGATAAGGTAGGGGACACTTTTTTTGTGTCGATCCACAAAACAAAAATATCGAGGGCGTATTACGCGTGAAAAAAAAAACACAAAACTCATCGTCATCGATGAGCTGCTCTCGACTAATCGAGAAAAAAACAGCTTTGTAATTGAAGCATTTGTGTGTACACGATGATTTATACATTCTCGTCGCACAACTATTATGATATACGTACCATTTGGTTAGCCTACAGGGTGGCATGCGAGCCATCTCCTCGCGAGTCAGGGTCGGCTGATACATGTGCTCGCTCAGACCCATTTTGTATTTTTTTTTCCTTTCTTTCTTTGTACGGGGGAGTGGTAGTATTTATAAACTTGCGATCAACACATAAATACGATATTTCAAACGACAGCTGCCTTTGTCTGTTTTGAGATCTTTCTAATGCTCGTTGGATGTTGTTGTTGTTTTTTTCTCATCGAGATTATCTTTCCATAACGATTGGCCGTCGGGCCGCTGCCGCCTGTTGCTTCTGACGGCTGTCACGCGGGATGGTCCTCTTTCTGGCGTGCTGCTGTCGCGATGATAGCCTCATGGTACTGAGCCGCGAGCCACATCAGCTCGACTGTGATTTTTCCGGATCAAAGAGGGAGAGACGATTGTTAATTTGGTGATTTATGAGGAGAGGAGCGATCGAGGCATATTATATACGGAGGCATCGATGGGCAAAGATGTCAATGGAAAATTAAAATATTAACAAGAGAAAGAAGGGAGTCTTTGCGCCTCGATATCTAGTACATAATATGCTCGGTTCCTACACATCAAATCTCAATACACAGTCACCCACACAGACATACATTAGCAAATGTATACTTTTCAAGTACGACACTCTGCTGTAAAAAACCATATTCGATGTGTTCATCTTGACTCTTTCAATTACGCCAGTCCCACTGCTTGCTCAGATCGCCAGTTCTTCTTTTTTTTTTTACTTCGTGCGGTGAGTTTAAAATTGTCAGCTACGACTCGGCAGACACGAGATAGACGCACAGAGCGAGTTGCATATTATATATAGAGAGACACGATCTCTACTCGAAACCTAATCTCTCAGTACTGCCTCAACTCGACTCTCGTATTCGCTATCCAGAGACGTTGTCTGGACAAAAGCTCGGGTACGTATCGTATATAAAAAACGTCGTGCGATACACACACGAGTTATTATCATTCTCATTTTTTTTTACGACCTACGTCGTGGATAATTTAACTACTCTGTCTCAAAAAAAAAATGAAGCGCACGCGTAGGTTTATGCTCGCGGATCTCTGAATATTATACGTCGAAACGCGAAAGAAATAAAAAAGAAAAAGAAGCCAAGGATGACTGACTTCTTTTTTCACCGCAAAGTCACGAGAAAAATCTGGGCCGAAAATCAATCGTTCCTTTTTTTCTTTGCCTTCTTCATTCTTCACCCCGCAACAAAGCGTCGTATGATACGTATACGTATGTCTCGGCACGAAGTTTGTTACGCACAAAAGGAGCGACCCGCAGGTAGTTTCCGTTTCTCTGTGCGACAGCGGCAGCTCGAGTTCGACGTGAAAAAAAAATATATATATTTAAGGCAATTTATCGCGCGTGTGTGACGTTTTCGAGGATACACACATATACTGTATCGATTTCAGGCAATAAATAAATATAACTTTGATCGAAATCTTCATTGTCAATGACGCAACGCAGAGATTAGAATCATTTGGTAAAAAAAAAAACTATTTTTTGGGCTCAACCGCAGTGTCTAACAATAATGACGAAATATTATACACGCGATTTCCCCCCGAACCAGCTCCACGATGTTAGCGCACTTTATTACAAAAGAAAGAAGGAATGCTGTAAGGATCAGGAGAGAGATGCCAGTAGCAGTGGCAACAGCTGCTCCTGTACATCGTAATACAGTCGCTCTTACAGCGAAGTATATGCAACGTAGCACGAGTCGCCGAAATTTTCCCGAGCCTTGCAATATACACAACGTACGAAGTACGCACAGTAATTAATTTTTACGACTTTTCAAAAACTCGAGAAAAACTGCTCGCGAGCTCGTAACTTACGTATATTATTATACGATGAGTTCATGAATTCACGCGAGGAGCTCGTTTATAAGTAACGTTTATATATGTATCTATCGAGCGTAATAAACACGACGTATACATAAGACACGCAATAGCGTAACACATCTCTCTATAGTCACGTACCCATATTTGTGTGTGTGCAGTGCACAGAGCCTTTTTGCAAAACGTTTCATTAATGTGTACACTCGCGAGTTCGAGTTCGTATAGAGGTATATGGAGATTTTGCCGCGGGGACGTCTATACCACGTATACCGTGTATCGTGTGCATTAAATACGCCGTGCACTTTTGCCGCGCGCCTTTCTCACGGCTCTGTGCCGAGGATAAATAAATGAGCTTAAGTTTAAACGCTCGCGCACACGTACAGCAGACACGCGCGTGCGCAGCAATGATATGCCCATTGTCGACGGGGTGTGTACGGGTAATTTGTAGAAACGATGGATGTTGATTCAATGATATACAACAATGATTGTATAATAGGCCCTGGATCTATAAGTGATTTTTTTTTCGTCCTCCCGCGTGTTATAATGATATTCAGAAATTCCTGAATCGTGAATCATCCCGATGTTTTTTTTTCTCGTTCGGGATCAACAGGTTTTCGAAAAACGGACGCGCGCGCGCGCACGTGTGTCTCTGGCGGCAGAAACTAATAAAGTAAAATTCTAATTACTTCGTTCGGAGTCGCCGTCGTTTTTTTGTTGTCGTCGGTCTGTGTGTGTGTGTGTGTGTGGTACACAACGACAAAAATGAGAGACTCGGAGCCTCGGGGGACTGGTCGCACGTACGGTCCGCGTGTGTACTCAGAAGCTGTCTTTTGGCGCGTGCGCGCGTGTCCGCTCTATTACACGGAAAATCACTTAAGTTTGATGAACTTGAAAAGCCTCGAAGCGTTATGAGGAGCTTCGACAGTTTTCCAATCTGCTACTAGCGATAACGCAGGCAAAGAGGATGTATCATCGAACGCGTGGACATACATACATACGAGCGGAAAAATATTTGACGAAAAAAATGAAACGGCTAAAGAGAGGAGTGAAAAAATAAGAAGAGGAATAATAAACCGGCCAAACGGGTTGAAAGACACCCGCTGAACTTTCACGACCTCTCTTTCTTTCTTTCTTTCTTTCTTTCTCTATCGCTGTGTGTGTCTCGTCGTTTTTCGGACTTCTTTCTCTTCCTTTAACTTCAGAGTTGTGCACGCACGCGCGCAGACTCGGAGAAATGTGCACATGAAGGTGCGTTGAATATATACTTTTTTCACCTCCTCGACGAGAGAGTCAAGAGAAGAGCATGCCTCTATATATACGAAGGCAGCCCACGCGACTTTTACGATGGACCCCCCCTTTCTGCGTGCATTATAAGTCAAAGAAAGAGCAAGAGAGTAGAGAGAGATTATTTCTCTCTCTCTCTCTCTCTCCTGGATAATTTATGCAGACTCTCCTTCTTCACGCAACGTGGGAGGATTTTTTTTTTTTTGCTGCTGCTGCTGCTGCTGCTGCTCTGATACTGAACCGCGATAATATATAATGCCAGAGCGAGAGAGAGAGAGAGAGAAAGAGAGAAGAACTGCATGAGATTGCGCTTCTTTCTCTCTCTCTCTCTCTCCGTCTCTCCATGCATCAGAGACGAATGACTGCGCCGCGCGCGCCCTTATAAATCCGATTTATTTATTTTTCATTTTATTGCCAGGGATTAAGCGATGATTCGTGAAATAATTCACATTATACGTGTATATATGCGCCTGTATAATATGCAAATCACCGGAATTATTGGAATTTCATGTCCTCGCGTCGTATTAATGCGCGAGAAGACCAAGAGATATCGAGGATCGCCGATTGCCGCCGCCGATTCTGACGAAGAGATTAAGCATGAAAAATAAAAAAAAAACTTATGTAGAGGTAAGTGAAAAAAGTCGCGAGCTCTGGCTGCAAGTTTTAACTTCGGGCACACAGGCACAAGCTGTGTACGGTCAATTTTCACGTCTTGCTTGG